ATATATATATAGGTGTATGTATGTATATACATATGTATGTGTATATTTATATGTAGATTTTATTTTTTCTGTGGAACCTACCTCACCTTTGGACAATTTTGGCCAGCTTTACCACCTCTAACCTTTGCTTTTGGCTTTTCTCTGATGAGAAACAGAAACCTCCTTTTCTGTTTACCACACTCATAAGTCAGGTATGTGACTTTCTATCTCTCTTGCCTGTATATCATACTAAATCTTGGGTTGCTTTACTTTGTGATCCTTCCTACCTTCTTCTTCCTACCTCCACATTTGTTATCTCCATCCTTCTCCTTCTCATGACTCCTTTGCTATGGCCTAAGATCATGATCTCTATATTTTTTGTAACCAAATGTTTAGTTTTCCTTCCATCTGCTTGGGACACATTCTATATACTCTGTCTTTTTTTTCTTTCCTGCAATCTACTAATTTTCATCTTATCTTAACTCTTCCTTGCTATATCTCCACCCTTCACCTCCTCACTATGATTTTTATTTGACTAATGCCCCTATTTTGTCTTGGTTTATCAGCTCTTATGATCTCCTTTGTCTGAATGCTTTTCTTTCAGGTGTCCACCTCTTCTCTCATTGACCAAAATCTTAAATCTTACCCCTTTTCTTACTGCACCAATCTTTAAGGGTGTTCCTGATTCCTTAGCTTGTCAAGCTAGGGCTGCTCGCTAGCAATCTTCCTTTACTTCCCTGTTTTCCTGATTCACTAGGCCACAGATACATCTGTTGACTACCTGACCTCAGAAGTTTTGTAGGGCTACCCTCTCTCTTATTCCTTGTATTATTGCTTCTGTTTGCCATTCCCCATCCCACTGGGTAAGCCAATCATTGGTAAGTCTTCTTTGGAGCCTACTCTTAGCTCTGGAACCTCTGATTTCTGCCTCTCCCCTTTTGCACACCTATAGTCTCCTTTCACTGGCAACCCTTGGGTTGTGCAAGTTCATTCTTCAGGTCTATCCCTACTTTTCATAATCCACATTTTTTTATATCTTCATGAGAGTTTTTGTGATTCCCTTATGGAGGAGTTGGGGCTCAACCATCTCCCTTGCATCTTTATTCCTTGAAGTTCTTGGTATTTAAGGCTTTTCACTATCCTTCTCTTCCTATGTGTGAAATTCTCTGGCCTTCAATGGCCTGTATCATGTTATGCAATCCTTTTGCTACCCTTATGCCTTTCCCTTCATCTCCCCCCCCCTCCCCCCAAATTTCTTGGTGGCTTTATTGCTTCAACATGACCCAGAATTTACTCTGACTTGCATTTTTACACCAATATTTTCTTTTCTTGTTGTGAGAGCAGTTTTTGTCACCTCCACTCTCTCCAGGGTGTGGCTTCAATTGTGACACTTTTATGGTTGTTTCTTACATCACTCACCAGGGAGGCATCCATTTTGGATCCTATGTTTTTTTTTTGGTAGCTCCATTTATTCCAACAATTGCCAGTTAGTGAGAGTTGTTATGTACACCTTTCAGTTTTTGCTCGGCAATATTTCCCTTTTTTTTTCACCTGTTTTCTCCTTCTACTTGCTTGTAGTCATCCTTGTTCAGATGTTTGCATCTGCCTCTGACCACTCCTTTCTTCTAAAGACTTGGATTGCCTGGAAGGATGATCATTTTTCTCCAATCTCTTTCCCCCTTCTATTTCATCATTATGTGATCATTCCATTCCCAGTTATCTTTTATGTCCAGTTATTGCTGTATGTTGCTATCCTGCTTGGACTTTCTCTTTTCATGGACACATCTGTGTTCTATTTTTCTCATGACTAACCTCCTTTCACTTAACTGATTGGACTCATCAGCTCATCTGTCTGACATATTCCTTTTTGAGTGAGTCCAACTGACTGTTTTTTGACATCACCTCCCATCAGGTTAGACATATCACAACCTCTCTTGCCTGCTTTTGATGCTGCTCTTTGGTGGAAATCTTGCAAGCTGGTATTTGGATTTCTAACACATTCATTTCCCATTCCCAGTTTTGTCTGTTGATTTTCTTTTCAACCTCCTTTGATGTATATTGATCTCCATGTCCCTCACATATTTCATGACACCACCATTTGTGTGCTATTTCTTTCATACCCCTTCAACAAACAAAAAAAATGAGGCAAAACACACGCATGCAGAAAACAAAAAACTCATCACGTGGAACTAAACACTACAATCATTATGATTGATGTCGTCAGATCCCACCGAATTGGCTTGGCAAAGTTGCCTCACAGAGAATACATACTCAAACTCTGCATCAAGCACGGGAATACAAAAAGTGTTAAACCTGTCCAGTAGTATATATGTAGAATTGATATGACTATTTCTACACTTATTGCAACCAAAAAAAAAACATCAGCATTTGGGCTTACTCCTGGTTTGTGATGTAGAGCTAGCATAGTGCACGTGTAGTACAGGAGGCACCCTTTTACAACATCTCCAAAGCAGTTCCCAGTAGATAGCCAGATGGGACTTAGATTTGCCTCAGGACACAAGTGAGAGCTCCTCCTCCCTCCACCTGTTATTATAGTGTCAACATCAGTAAGTATTTGACCAAGATGGGATGGTCTAAAGCCATAGCCACACTGCAAACTCTAATGGTCCATCCATCTTGGTAACAGTTTACCACCAGCCCTGGATTTGCCTTAAATCTTTTGCTGTGCTCTCTCATTACAATAAAAATAATAATAATTACTGTACAAAGAGTATTTCTGCTTTAGAAGGATGTAATCTCCCACCAGATATTGCTCCACTAGGCAACCCCTGGTCTCATGGAAGTTGCACCCCATGGGATTTCCCTTTCTGTTGCTATTTCAGAATGGAGCTCATCTTTGTAAGTACTAAACATCAGCCTCTCCAGCATTTTCAATGTGGGATTCTAACACTTAATGGTCCAGAGAGGAAGTAACATTTCTGAAGTTAACATTTTTCTAATCTGAAAATGTATTTCAGATAGATACTTACCTCTCTGTGCCATCCTCCCCACTTCCTCTGCATTTTGTTTGTTTTGGGAAGAATGAACCTATGAGCATGTGCTAATGCTCACAGAAATTACAGCACATGGAATTTGTCACCCTCCTACTGGTAAAGGCTTGCAGCATTATGACAGTTGCATCATGGGCTGGCACAATGCACATAAACATTTGTAGGGATGGTAGATTATTCAAGGCTTGTGGCATGTGCAGGAAATTCCACAGCAATTGTGCACCAGGTAATAGATCTTAGTGGTGCAGAAAGGTATCTGTCTGAAATAAATTTTCAGGTTAGGAAAATGTTAACATTAATTGAATGTGTAGCATATTAAAGCCTTAAATAAAATAAGAAAATCATTATATTGCCTATTTTGATAATTTTTTTTTCAACAGTATAAACTGTCATAGTTTAATTGTATAGATTTATGAAAACCACAGTAGGAATGAGGTGTTCTAGTAAATTTGCTAATTTCTGTAATTGTACATCAAAATTGTCAGATAATAAGTTAATTTTGTGTATAGAAGCTTAAAGATTCTAATTTTATTTTTAAATCATGGAAATGTCTTCAGTTTGTGAAGTTTGCCAACATTGAAGAAGACACACCCTCGTACCATCGACGATATGACTTCTTTGTTTCAAAATTCTCATCTCTCTGTCACAACAACCACAGTGATCCAGAGACAAGAAACAAGTGAGAATTTTTAACTCATGCTGATATTTATCATGCAAATTAACCATTCTAAGGTTTTGTAAGATGTTACATGTATAGTGAACAATCAGTGTGGTATTATTTAGATATAGATACCGGATATTAAGACATGTGATTGTCAGGAGAACTTGCAGTAAGCCAGAATATTAAGTATTGGTTTCTGGAGATGTCTCCACATGTTTTATTAGTGTCTTCACATTTTATTTATGTCTTGTTTATCAAAAACTAAGCATTATTAAAAAGTTTACTTTTTAAGAGCTGATTAACATTTATCCATTTTACATTGGCAATAAGATTTCACATGAGTCAGTGTTCCAGTAGCTTTATGTAAACATAAAAAGCCATTTCATTTTTAGAAGTTTAGGTGTTTTCATTTATATGGCTCAGCTGTTTAACTCTCTAAACTTTATTACTTTTGTACACAACAGTATAATGTCAATTATATTAGGAACAACTTCATACAGTTTTGACTTACATAGTTTGTGACGGAGAAAAAAGGTAAGAGCATCAAGAATTTGAAACTTATAAAAATATAAAATTACATAATTGTTCAGATTATATTCATCATTTGATTTATTTTTCATTTTAGAAAAGTCTATTTCAGTTAGAACAAACACAGTTTCTTTTTACCTTCTTGTTGTTTTATCTTTCTACTAGCTGAGTTACCCGACGTTGCACGGTGAAAATTTAGATTTGAAATGTATAGATCAGTATTTTTTCAGCAAATTATTCAGTAAGTAGATAAAAGCTGTGATGCGAGAAATAAAAAAGCATTTAATCAAACAAAACTTTATTTGAAATTAGATCATGTTTGAGCTTGTCTTGTTCTTTGAGCCTGAAGTCGTACATCATGCTGCTCCTCTGTTTCTCGCTCTCTGTAAGTTATTTGTCTTAATTTTTGTGCTTGAAGTCTGGCTTTATGTTGTTCAACAGTTTCTTGCTGTCTTTGAGTAGACTGCCTTTCAGCTTGAGCTCGAAGTCTAACTTTACGTTGTTCCAAAGTCTCTTTCTGTATTTGAACAGCCTGTCTTGCAGCTTGTGCTTGAAGTCTTTGATTGCATTCTTCTTCTGTTTCAGCTGCTCTTTATGCTTGCATTCTTTTAGTGGCAGAAGACTTTCCATAGAACTCTTCTTGGGTGGCATAATCACCTGTATCACTAAACAATAATTTGCAATTCACAAAGTTACTAAATCACTTATGAAACCACATAGCACTATTTAAAGAAAATTGTTTTTGGAAATACTGAATTGACAGCAAGATGATCTGAGTGTCTCCTGCCATAATGCTTTCTATGTGCAAAACATGCTTATGTTTGTGTGTTTATTACAAAAAAATGGCACAATAATCATTAATTTTCAATTTTGTCATTAAATACTACACCAAATACAAAATAAATAGCACCATTAAATTTCTTGTAAAAAACTGGTCATTATGAAGTTATTTTAAAATTTGTAAGTTCAACCATTTGGTTTCCTATAGTGAACAAATAAACAAACTTCCTCTTTTATATCTATGTATATATAAAAGAGGAAGATAGATATATATATTCTTCAAGGTCTTGTTTTTGTCACCTTACGCTTTTTAATGAACATGGGAACATTGACAGAGAATTAATATATAATAGCTAATGCTCGGCGAGAAGTTTTCATTTATAAAATTTTGTTGTTGTTCTCGACTTGATTTTTATTTTATTACCTCTTCTCCATAGTTACTATTTGCAAATAGTCAATAATATTGTAGGTCCATTTTAGTGTTGTTATTTCTATGCACCATTATAACACATTTTCATCTCATCATTTAATTTCTGTTGTGCATATATTGTTGTATGTTTATTACAAAAATGGCGCAGTAATAATTAATTGTCAATTTCGTCATTAAATACTAAACCAAATATAAAATAAATAGCACCATTAAATTTCTTGTAAAAATAGATAGATTCTTCATGATCTTGTTTTTGTCATCTTACGCCTTTTAATGAAGATGGGAACATTGACAGGGAATTAATATAATAGCAAATGCTCGGCGAGATGTTTTCGTTTATAAAATTTTGTTGTTCTCGACTTGATTTTTATTTTATTACCTCGTCTCCATAGTTACTATTTGCAAATAGTCAATAATACTGTACGTCCATTTTATTGTTGTTCTTTCTACGCGCCGTTAAAACACATTTTCATCTCATCATTTTATTTCTGTTGTGCATATATTGTTGTATGTTTATTACAAAAAATGGCATAATAATCATTGATTGTCAATTTTGTCATTAAATACTACACCAAATACAAAATAAATAGCATTAGATTTCTTGTAAAAACTGATTAT